CTTTGGTAGTGCTATAAGTAACACCTGTAGGGTACATACGTTACTTTACAGTATCAGCATTCCTACAGACCAAGTTTAAATTGATGCATAAGCATACACATTGAACTTTTATATGCCAGAGATATCTCACCCATCAAAAACCAACAGGTTGAACAAGAAAGCTGAAAAGCCAACAAAAGACATACTTTTTTTGAACAAACAAACACACAACTTTTTTTTTTAAAAAAAACACTTATCAAGAGTTGTTAATTTTCATTTTATATAGGACCAGTCTTTTCATTAATCAAAGGAAGAAAGGCTTTGTAGATTGTGGATTCTGTAGAACAGTGGGTGCAAGTTAGAGATTTACATATAAAACTATCTGCCCATTGCTAAGTAAACTAGTCCATGGCATTTGGGTGAAGTAAAAAAATGGTGTGTGATGGTCTGGATGAGGGCAAGCAAATTGAAGTTGAATCCAGACAAGACAGAGGTCCTCCTGGTCAGTTGCAAGGCTGAGCAGGGTATAGGGTCGCAACCTGTGCTGGATGGGGTTACACTCCCCTTGAAGGCACAGGTTTGTAACTTGGGAGTTCTCCTGGATTCATCACTGAGCCTGGAATCCCAGGTTGCAGCGGTGGTCAGAGGAACGTTTGCACAATTAAAACTTGTGCACCAACTGCGCCCATACTTTGGGAAGTCAGACTTGGCCATGGTGGTCCATGCTCTCGTTACATCTAGGATATACTGCAACACACTCTACATGGGGTTGCCATTGAAGACTGCTTGGAAGCTTCAAATAGTCCAATGAGAGGCAACCAGGTTAATAACTGGGGCGGCATACAGGGAGCATACAACTCCCATGTTATACCAGCTCCACTGGCTGCCACTTTGCAACCCGGCACAATTCAAAGTGCTGGCTTTGGCCTATAAAGCCCTAAATGGCCCTGGCCCAAATTACCTGTCCAAACGCATCTCCCCCTATGAACCATTGCAGAGATTAAGATCCTCCGGGGAGGCCCTGCTTTCTGTCCTGCCATTGTCACAGGCACAATTCGTGGTTACGAGAGACAGAGCCTTCTCGGTGATTGCTCCCCGACTATGGAACTCCCTTCCTAGTGAGATCAGGTCGGCCCCCTCTCTCCTGTCCCTTAGAAGGATGGTAAAAACTTGGCTGTGGGACCAAGCTTTCAGGTCAGGGCAATAAAGCAGCAATAGGAAAGATGACCAAGCCAATGATTTGACGTGGATGACTTAGGACGGTTTTAAATGGTGTATTTTAATATTTTGATAAATGTTTTTTAAATGTTTATGTATTGTATGTGAATCTGTGTCCCGTCATTGAATGTTTGCCGTGTATATGCTGTGCTCCGCCCTGAGTCCCCTTCAGGGTGAGAAGGGCAGAATATAAATGTTTTAAGTAAATAAATAAACACAGATGAGGGCTTCTGTTCCTGGCCTACACCAGAAAGGGGTGCCTTAGATGTGCACCAAAAGTTGACCCATGGATGCTTTCCACTGGGTGGCCTATTTAAAGACCCTCAAACCCCAAATTGTCCTTGCAAACAATATAGGGTAGGAAAAAAGCCAACCTAGAACATAGGAGAAAATATAGAGTAGGTAAAAACCCCACATAGAGGAAAAAAATGAGGAAAAAAATAAGGGAAAAATTCTTACCCAGCCTCTGTAGGTGACCAATATATTATAGTGCTAATGTGTGGGAGGGTAGGCCAACAACGAGCTCTAACTGAGCTCAATGGGGCGAGCTGCTCCCTAAGGCAGTCACACCACCAAAAATAGTTCCTCTAGATCTATTTTCCAAATGGCTGGCCTCCCTTCAGCATGGGTGGCAAAAGGCTTCCCTTCAGCATGGGTGGGGCTTGGGAAGCAAATTCTGTAATCGATTTCCACCAATAACATTATGTAACACAATTTCTGTTCCTGGGTTATAAATGCCATTTCCTAATTGGAAAAAGTTTGTTAAACTGTAAAAGCTTTGTTATTGTATAACATCCTGCAGCACATTTTGCTATAGTCTTTCAATGAATATCAACCTAGAGTCTCAACTAACTCAACATAGTTTGTGGCAGCCACAAAAACAATGTTTTTGGAGAATAACTTTCAAAGAAAATATTGCACAATTAAACAGGAAATAATACTTTCAAACCAGGAACACATTTTCTTTCAAATTTTATTACATAGTGTCATTCTCAATTGCAGTGGTTCCCTACCACTACTGAGAGGGAGAGATCTTTTCCAGTCCTGTAACTTTCTCACTAGAAGTGTTGAGGATCCACAAAGCTGAAGGTTCAGATGCACTGTCTTTCTAAAGTTGAGACACTGTTGAAACGGTTTTGAATCCCATAAATAAAACAAACTATTGCTGAGCCAACAAATGTATAATATACAGCCATGGTATTAAAAACAAAAGGTTACAGTACTATTCAAAGAAAACCTCCTGATAGTTAAGCTTGCAAATGATTTAGACTGACATCAACATTAGGAAGAGTGAGATAGTTGCTTCAGGCAGCATTTCTTAGGTGTCATAAGAGGCAAGCAAATTCCAATTTTCTTCATTTCTATCACATTTTTAAGATCAGGAATGGGGAGAGATGTTCATGTGATTTTCAGCCTTGGGTGTAAAAATAACCCGACTGACTTTATATGCCATACATCTTTGACTTGGGGTGTTTAAGAGGCATAATCGTCTGCTCTGCCTCAGGGCAGCAAAATATCTTGGCCTGGCTATGTGTGTTTGCTATGTGTGTCTCTGTGTTTCTGTATGCTGTTATCAGAAAACTGTAGCCCACCTTGTTGTACTTGTCCATTTGCTCTTTCTTTGCTCTCCAAATAACATTACCCTTAGGCCATATGATGTTTGTTGTGCAAAGCCTATACATAACAAGTGTGCCAGAATAGAAGATTTTAAAATAGCATTTTGCTGCTTCTTTCCCAAATGGGAGAGAGCTTGAAAAGTGTTTCCAGGGTCAGAGAGAGAGATGAATTCTAATGATCTCACAAGTCAGATGTTGGCAGTTCTGTTGCCCAAGATTTTTTTGCCAGCTTTGAATAGTTAAGGACAGCACTAAAAAGGTCTATTTCACATATAGTAACAGACCATAGCCTTCCATTACAGAAAAGGCACTATGTGTCCAATCTCACCATAGCTGTGTAAAGCATTCTCGAAGCACCTTTGAAACCAAGATGATGACATTTTTATCATAACCTTTAGAAGACTGGACATATTTCATCATTTGCATCTTATGAAGTGGAGCTAGACTAGGAAAGTGTAAACTGGGTAGCAGACGAAGAAGAGCCACCCCAAGCCTTAAGGGGCCTCCTTCTTCACCAGGTATAGCATTAGCTTAGCTCTTGTAGGTTAAATAACATAACACAAGTTGCACAAGTATTGTAAATAAAAACAAAGTGGATTTTTGGCTCCATGCACACCTCTAATGGTTATGTCTGAAACTACTAACTTAGCATTTTCTTCCTGTTATCTAGTTTCTCTGTGGATCACCATTTCTGATGTTACCTAGTTGTTCAGAACCCATGCAAAACCAGTTTAAACAGATATTTTGACTTTCTTAATTAGCATCATTAGAATCACTAATCATCATGTAGCCTCCACAATGCACCATGCAATTCTTGTGACATTAAATTCTGTCACAGGGCTATTTCCCTACTGATGACATTGCCTTTCCTGCTGCAAGTCCTGGCTGGTGAATTTATTACTGCATAAAATGTGCAGCTCTAAATAAGTCTTTAGATCTTATTTAGCATGTTTCGGGACCTCCCATGGGATAAGAATATTGCCTCAGTAAGCTATAGCAGCTCATGATGGAGTGAAAATATAACAGTACTAGGTGCCAGCAACTGTTGCAAAAGAAAGGAGAAAAGAAATTAAATGCTGTTCAGTCAAATGATTCTTGTTACTACTTTGTGCAGTAGCAAATCTCAGTGAGTTTAATATAATATTAAGATTATCTACAAAATATAATCAGCTGTATGATAGTGGGTCCTCTACTTCTATATAGAATATAGCCCTCAAAAAAGCTTTGTTTTTGCAGAACATCTTGCCACACATTTTGCTATAGTTTTTCAATGAATATCTCATAACCAGTCTTAACCAGTTCAACATAGTTTGTGGCAGCCACAAAAACAAAGTTTCTGGAGCATAACAACTTTCCAAGTAAGTACTTCACAATTAAACAGGAATAACACTTTCAAACCAGGAACAGACTCTTTGCCCCTTAACCCCTGAAATAACGAGACAGACAACAAATGTATGGATTCAAATTGGGCAACTTTTATTGAATGTTACCTATTTAACTTTACCTGAACTAAACTAAGTGTCAAGGAACTTGGTGGCAAGCTGAGGCAGCGTCCCCAGCTACTTAGTGTGTGATGTCTGTGTGCCCTGGATCCCCAACCGGGCAACCTGAAGGTAAAATCTGGAGAAGCCTGTATTCGATTCTTGATATCAGCTTCCTCTCTTTACTGGGCCAATTGATGTCCCCTCACCCATTTGTTGACTTCTAGGTGAGTGTTTGTTGTACCGTGTCCCCCACCCTTAATGGGTGCCATGTGTATACCTCCATGTCAGTGTTTTCCTGAACTATTTATGCCACGGATTGGGGGCAAATGTCTATTTCGCCCCCATCCCCCACCAAGCCCCTTAAAACCTCCTGAATGCCTAACTGCAAATCAGCCAAAATTGTGGGTTGCCCAAATCTGTCAAATGAACACCATCAGAATGGTAAAACTGCATTTTGTCATGCGTGATGTCCCTATGTGGAATGTAAAACCCTCTGCCCCGTGCTAAAGCCGTGCACATGGCCCGGTTCACACGCTTTCCGGCCTTCTCGACCTTCCTGACATCACCGCCTCCTGGCCACCGAAGGCGTGTAATGACGGCCGACCAAGCGATGTGAACCCGGGGCCATGTCCGCCAGATCTCAAAATGTCGGCACGAGCATGTAGATACAGGGCCCTGCCGCTAAGCAGGCCCAGATCATTACCTCCGATACGGAGCAGCGGCCCAACGAAGGCCTCGAACACCCTTCCACTCGACCAATGCAGTGGAAGCGCACCCAGACGCTGGCCAAAGGACGAGTTCCCGGCGTATCTCTCCGCCCAGTGGACATAATTATGCCCACAACAAGGATTCTCCATCTATGCACCAGCCTGGCAGTCCCTGCAAAATAAACAACAAACAAACGAACGCCGGGCGAGCCTATCGCCAATAAGCATCCTATTTTTCCCCCTGCCCATTGCAGTAATCGTCCTATTTTTCCCCTGCCCATTGATTCAGGGATCCGATTACATGGATCTCCAACTAGAGGATAATGTGAGGAACTGGCAACATATGAATATGCAAACCTACTGAAAAAACCTTCCCAAGGTACATAACAGCCCCTTACTGGGTACTGACCCAGCCCAACCTTCAACTGATTTAACTTAATTGGGCTGGAGCCCTTGAGAAACTGCGGCCTGACCTGAAGGTTTCTTAACGAATTGGGTGTCTCTATTATTACCTCTCGCGGCCCTCCCCTTGGGGCAATTTCGGGATGGATGAGACCCATAACAAATAGAGCACAAGTGCGAGTATCGACAGTCCTTGCGTGAACAGGTTCCCTGAGCCACAAATTCCCAACATAAAGGCTTCTGGCCCTGGGACTGCAGCTGGGGAGCCCCCTGCCGAGAGGACTGTCCCGCCGTGTTCTGAATAGTGTGCCCACTATCCGCCTTCAAGGCAGAGGAAGCCCTAGATGGATTCATCACTTCAATCCAAATTTGATCATCGATCAAGTCCCAACGTTTGTCTGGGTGGCAAGCCGCTTCAGTCCTAAAACGCTTATCATACTCTAACCAAGCGTTAGGAGGGCCGCTAACATAAGCCTTGTAAATAATATTCTGATACTGCCACAAGGCCGTAGCCCTTTCTGGGGCAGCATCAGAAAGCAGGTTCGCGTACATAGTGAAACAAGGGAGCCAATTCTCCCAGTTCTGCTCAACCTTGCGTTTCTTCAATTTCTCCTTACTATCCTCATCTAACTCCTCCTTCTCCTTCTTATCCATATCCCTAAAGTATAGAGAAAAAATATCTACGTAATTCATTCCTCAAAACCTTCTCCAATGTTTTGGACGCCAAGTGGGAACCTAAACCTGAAAGGCTAACGGTAGGCGTTGCCTGTGGTGGCCATTTTGCTGTACCCCAAAATTTGCTTGCCTCCCCAGTGCGAGCCGATTCCAAAGTGACAGTAGCAGGTATGGCCGACTGCGCAGCAGCATCATCCTTCCTATCTCCCGAACTGGGTTCTGCCCCACCCGCAGACTGAACCCCAACTGCAGCATAAGACTGAACCCCTACGACAGGTTGAGCCCGCCCCTGATCCCAGGGCCATGTGAGTGAGGTGGAAGTGTTCGATGATGTGAGTGTGGTGGAAGTACCTGCTGGGACAGCCGTCAACAACTGCTCACTCACTGCTACATCCACGGCAGCAACCGTCGACCCCACCGACTGAGTGGACCCGGCCGCAGCACTGGCCGCAGAGGCCAATGCCGCGGGCTGACTGGGTCCGGCCACAGCAGCCACCGAGGAGCCAGACGAGGCCTGCACCAATGGAAGTGCCTCAGTGCTGGCGATGGCCTGCACAGCCGAAGACACCCCAGCCGAGCCCTCCGCAGCTCCCGGAACCGCCAGGTGTTCAGGAAACCGGACTGCCCTTTCTGCCCTCGCAGCTGAGGCCGACTCTATAATAGAAACCCGGGACAAGAGAGACTTGAACAACTGTTTCTTACTTGCCCTGCGAGTAGAGCCCACAGCAGCCCTACCCAAACCAACCCCCCTGTTTTGTTCAATTTGATCAACACGCTGAAGAAGGGCCTCCAAATCCCCCACAGACACCTCATCTTCGTCCGACGACGACCCATCCTGCCTCAAAGGGCGCTTGTGACCCGTCTTCTCCGCAGGACCCTTCCCTTTAGGGCCCCCTCTGTTCTTCTTCGATGGCATCCTGAAATGAAAGGAAGGTAAAATGCCAATGAGAGCCCACTCTATCATACAAATAAAAGGAAGGGTAGAATGCCAATGAAAGCCCGCTCAACACACCGCGCTAACGCCCATATGGCAACCCAATCCATCCATTCCAATAGTGTCAAAGCGCCAACCGCACCACGAAAACATAGAATCAAAGAGTTGGAAGAGACACCCTGTGACCTTCCACAACCCTCAAACTCAACTCCGCAGCATCATAGAATCAAAGAGTTGAAAAAGACCCCCTGTCCCCTCGCCCTCACCCCCTCTGCCACCCGTTGCCTCTGGTGTGAGAGAATTGGCCGTCTGCAGAGGACGTGGCACAGGGGACCTAGCCATGCCCCTTACTGAGGAGCTGGACCTAACATGGGAAGCTCATCCCCCCCTCCCCGGACCCGGACCAGCGACCTGTCAGTCTTCAGTCCTGCCAATCGGGGGTTCAACATCTTATGACCTTTACAACTTGGAATGGAAGGGGGGGGGGTGCGCCAATGCCCAAAGCCTTTCACAGTCACAATAACCTTCCCTAAATAAATAATCCAAGTGCTTATGCATTATTCACTTACACCTCCATTGGTTTATATGCCAGGGATCAATTATACCCTCCCAACTCTGAGGGCAGCGCCCTGACCTAGTCCAACCCTACTAACATTATTTTTATTTTTATTTTCTCCCCTTTTTTTTAATATATATAAATAGAACTTATTATTTAACCGGTCCTTTCCCCCATCTTGGACAAGATCAAAATAAACCCCCCTTTGCTTGTAGGGCAGCACCCCACTGCCAAGGCTCCTGGGCTTATGTCCTTGAAACATATCTGCGCCACAAACGCTATCAAAATGGCGGCTGCGTCACCGACGCTTTCAAAATGGCGGCCGAAGGTGCAACCAACAAAATTCCCGCCCCAAGATGGCGGCCGTTGCCGCCAAATCAACATTGAATAAAAATGGCGCTAATAACGTACACCCCAGCCCAGCGCCGTGGGGCCAAATCAACATTGAATAAAAATGGCGCTAATAACGTACACCCCAGCCCAGCGCCGTGGGGCATCCTACTTCTGTGCCCCCGAAAGATGCGCCACGCGCCGCCCGGCGTACGGCCCTTTAAAATAGCCCTCCGAAAGCGCGCCGCCGGCGATAAAATTAAATAAATAAATAAATAAATAAATAAAATACAATGGCGCCTGGCGCGGCAGCGCTCGGCACCCCCGGACAGAGCCCCAAGCCGCGAGCCAGCCGTGCGCGCGAGCGAAAAGGCGCACAACCCAGCCGCCACGCTCAATGAGCCTGCCAGGGCTCGGCCTGAGCGACGAACGGCAAAAGGACGGCGGGAAAAACCCTCCCCTGCCCCAGCCGCGGCGAGGTAATGGCGGCCGCCGCTCGTGACGGCCAGAGCGCGCGCCTCGGCTTGAGTGACGAACGTCAAAAGGAAGGCGGGGAAAAAACCCTCCCCTGCCCCAGCTGCAGCAATGTAACGGCGGCCACTGCTCGCGACGGCCAGAGCGCGCGCCGCCCGATCCTCCAGCCGGGCAGCCTCCTTCCTCGCCCCGGCCGCTCAGACTTCTGCCCCTCTGCCATGGATCCGCAGGGGAAGGAGGGAAGGAACCCCCTCCTTCCCAGCCCGCTACCGAGACCGACCTGTGGATCAGGCAAAGGTGCGTATGTCTTCCCGAAAAGTCTAGCAAGACTGAAGGGCTGAGGCTGGCTCACATGCTTAGCCAGCCCCCCGCCCCTCTTCCAGGAGGTTCTAACTGGAACCTCCCATTCTCTCCCTTCAGGGGGTGGGGCAAATCGCTCTCCCCACCAACTGCGTTGGTGTGGAGAGTCCCTTTTTCAAATTTTGTTACATAGTGTTATGTTTTTAAACAGAAATCTTGTTGAATTTAGCCACATATATGCATTTGAATGCTTATACACATTGGTAGTTAACCTGCAGCTGAAGTAATTTAGTGGAGGAAAGCAGTACAAGAAGAAATAGATACACTGCAATAGAATGGAACATGGGCACTTAACAGAGCTCCCACTGGGAAAGGTTGTAATTGATGCAGATGGGTGTTCAATGTGAAGAGAGTGGAGAAAGAAAAGTGGAATTCTACAAAGGCAGTTTACTTTCTCAAAGCTTTCAAAAATATAGATATCAGAAATGTTGATGTGAAAACCATTTTTACATGGAATAATAGTAGAGGAACTACTCATGCCTTGACCTCCAGACTTTGTAGACCAGAAACATACAGATCTTGTTTGCGAGCTCAAGAGATTGTGCAGTCTTAAACTGCTGCTAGAACCTAGAATGAAGTAATAGATAAAATGCTGAAGCAAGAAGACTTTAAGCAATGAAAAGCAGGCCAGTACTTATATACCAGAACCCAAGACAGCCATGCAACTTTGATTGTGACTTTTTGATGATTTCATTGTAGGCAATCAGAGTGATAGAGGCTGTACAGAAATTGTACATCAGCTGAACAAGGAAGCTGAACTGAAAGAATTAAGCAACTCTACATAATACCTACACATACAGACTGAGAGAGATGAAGATGGTTCTCTTCATCTTCTTCCTAACAAATAACAAATAATTGTGTTGATTATGCACAATTATTTGTTAGGAAAGCTGCTATTCATATCTTACAGAGAATGCTAGGTTTGATTTCTTTCTCTCTTGTGTGTGGGGTGAACTGTTCCACTTCTCCCTAGTATATCAGATTGTCTGCTTGAGAGAGCTACTATACCTTCTCATATTTCTCAGTTGGTGTACCCATGCCACACAGACATTCTGTCCAAACCATTCACAGCTACACATTCACCTACACTGTGCTCTCTCTCTCCCACCTCTCCCTCTTTCTCCAGACACACACACACTTCAGCTATCTATATAGAATTCCTGAAAAACACATTTCATCTACCCATTGCTAACAGAAGCTCTTTTTCTCAAGGCTTATCATCAGTCAAAAGCCAACAAGTGATAATCCCTTGACCAAAATTGAGAAAGAGAATGTAGACAAAAAGAACTGCATATTGCTAACATTTTATAGATGAAAATTGTGACATGTGCGACCAAGCAAGTCACTTAAAGCTATTACTGCAGGAAAATGCATAAGTAGTAGGGCTGGGCAACCACGGAAAAAAATGTTTCTAAACTTGATTCGTTTTTAGGGGGTTTTTGTGTTTCGTTTTTTAAAAGAATTCTGAAATTTTCCTTAAAAAAGTTCGATATTTACGAAATTTCGGAAATTACGAAACGATTTCGAAACAATAACGAATCAATTCATTAATGGCGGACACGATTGCGCAATACGCTAAAAAAAACCTCCAAATGGGACAGGGGGAACTTCTGAAGCTTCCCTCTCCCTCTGTTGTTCACTGTTGGTGTGATAATTTATTTTTTATCACTGATAAAACAAACAACAACCATAAAACTTGCACCAGACATACGGAAATAATAACGAAATAATAACGAAACAATTTCGAAACAATTACGAAACAATTATGAAACAATTACGAAACAATTACGAAATAAAATTTAAAATTCGTTTTGATTTTTAGTTGCTCCTGAATGGTTCAATATCACTTCGTTATAAAAAAATGAATTAATAACGAATTACGAAATTAACGAACGAAACCGCCCAGCCCTAATAAGTAGGTTAGGTTGCAGCAGTTTGTTTTCACTAGAGACAAATGGGAAAGGACCATTTCTACCCTCTTTCCTGCTCTGCTTATTTAACTGAAGATTAGAATGAGAAACAGAAATTTGCACAAGATCACCCATAGAGATTTTACCCAAGTGGAAGTTTGAACCTATATTTCTCTACTCATGTGTGACACTGTTATTGCTGCATCACACAGAGTTTCACTCGAAGTCTAAGAGGAGAGCTTATGACCAGGTGTCACCAAAGGGAAAAGATGGAATGCATATAATGCATGCATTTTATGACTGCTGAGGTAAACTGGGTCTGACGAATCTTTGGAAAGGAGACTACTCAAGGATATAATAGACTTATATTCAGCTAGCATACAAATCAAATATATGACTTATACATGGATAATGGCAACTTTGTAGGAATACACAGATTAGGAAAACAGAAAATGCATCCTGCTTGTATTACTTCTATAAACAAAATCTGAGCTGTTACAAACCAGTTACTTGTTTAGTAATCTCACAAATATTACCTTGTTTCAAAAAATTCAGAATACATTTTACTACCTTTCTAAATCTGATGTGTATACCCCCTCATTTTGTATAATCACAAACTGTACTTATTTGGAAACACGGAAAAGAAATAACTATATTGGTATGACAATTTACACTACAGTGGGTAAAGTCTGCCAAAGTTCACATCCTTCAGTTTTGATGGTGCATGGAAATCATACTTTAGTAGCTAAATAGTAGTGACACAGAGAGTCAGAATCACTCTATTATACTATAGACTGATGCAACCACATCAGTTTAACTTTTTTTTAAAAGTAATTTTTGAATATATTTTCCAACATGAGTTTGTGCTGCCATGCTGGAGAATTTTTATACTTGCCAATTTGCCCTTTCCATGCATGTTTTTGCATTGAAATTTGCACCATGGACAGACTATCCCAGATAGCATATTCATGTTGAATAGCCAAATCAAGAATTTAGACTACTTGTGAGCCCATGGCTTTTATTATGTGATTGTGTCTTACCACCTTAATGCTTGCCTTTTGATATTAGCGTCTAAATAATATCATCAGATTCTGAATCAATATGTGGAAGAGAATTGCACAATACACACTATGAAATATCAGCCCACATATAATAAGTTAACAAAAGGAAATCATAGCTGTTATATAGGAGTCACTGAAACAGGCAATTACCCAACTGTGTGTGTGTGTGGTGGAGGGGAGATAAAAAAGAATCAGTGAATGATAGGCATTCATATTGTTGGCTGTTTTGTCCATCAGTAAAGAATTTGATACCAAATCTTGGAAAATACAAACTTTTCCTAATTTTGAAAAAGTGTTTCCCAGACAACCTATCATCTGGCTATTAGAAATCCAGTAAATTCAGAGGAGCAATTGTATATTTTGAGTTTCATGTTTCATGTGGTGTCTAAATATGTCAAGCAAAAACTGTTCCAATATCTATTAGTCAAACTAGAAATTTGTTGGATCTTAAAATCCACAGCATGAGCCCCTAGATCAGGGGTCCCCAAACTAAGGACCGGGGGCTAGATATGGCCCTCGCTCATGGTCAACCTAAGTCTGAAACAACTTGAAAGCAAACAACAACAACAACAACAACAACAACAACAAAAATCCTATGTCATCAGTCAAAAGCAGGCCCACACTTCCCATTGAAATACTAATAAGTTTATATTTGTTAAAATTGTTCTTCATTTAAATTATTGTATTGTTTTACAATGTTTTTTGCATTACAAATAAGATATGTGCAGTGTGCATAGGAATTCATTAATGCTTTTTTC